CGCGAAAGTTGTAAAATAGTTACATACGACGGCTAAAGTTAGCAAAATTACTTTACGTTGCACTGTGCACAGCTTATAGAACGAGGAAGTACCTGCAACCTGTGCGCTTCGCAAGCGAGAAATTTCTTTTCCCTTGCGAATCAATGGCGCGCTTTAGTTTACTCGCTTAAAAGCTTGCAAAGTCTCTTATTTAATTGGCAGAGCTTTAATTTTTGCACAGCGTTGAATGTTCTCAATAGCGGACAGTAGTTGCTTAGGAGCATGCTGCTACCAGCACAATCCGGTCGTTAATCGGCTAATGCCACCCATCGGGAGTCATATGCGCGTATTCATATCATCATTCATGTCATCATCATTAACTTACTGGCCGGCGTTATCGCACGCTATTATTGCAATTCGATAAATGAGTTGAGACAAAAAACTCTTGTTCGCGGGATGCTATTTAACTCGTCTAATTAAGCTCGTGCGATAGCAGTAGCGCACCATCAAATTAAATTCGATACGTAATAAATAGTGCTAAAATTAATTAAATGTATAACAAAAATTATCTTTTCTCCTTGTCTTTTAACAATATTTCTTATAAACATATGATATTCATATGCATGTCATCGTTTACATACGTTTTCATTTTCTCGCGCAAAAAGTAAATGACTATAATTGCTTGTATTTTTCCTGTAATTACATTTCTTTGATGCGTACAATTTGCCACTGTTTGCTTTTGACCTAGTCTTCGTGTATTTTGAATGTTTTACATATGAATGAATCGCTATTCGCGTACAATCGCTATCGACTATTAGATAATATATATATATATATATATATATATATATATATACTTTGTATGTGTATGTCGAGCAATTTGGCGGCTATTAATCGACCTTTGGGTCAACAACCTCAGAAAATATGCAAACTGCTCGAGGACTATCAATCCTATGTAAACAGAATACGTTTTGCTTTCGCCTCTTCAGAATTTTATAATTCTTTTTACGATTCTTCTTATGATTCTTCTAAATCGCAAAATTGTGACATTAGTGATATAAATAATAATTGAAAAGATGTTTAAATCAAAGATTTAAAAACAATATAAGATGAGATTTAAAAACAATATAAGATTGTTGCAATGTCAATTAAAAATGTAATATAAAATTTAAAGAAGCGATAAACTAAAAGAATAAAATATTCCAGAAAAATTTAAATAAAATTTGGAAACTAAATAATTTGCAAAATTAAAAATATGAAAATTTGAAAGTTTAAATTTTAAAAAGATATCTAAAGAATTGAAGAAATACTACTACTTTGAAAATTTAAAGATTTAAGTATTATAATTGTACTTTTTATTATGATTTTATGATGTATAAAAAATTTTTAAGAGAATAACTTGCAATGAGATAGTTTGCGTTGCTTTCCGACGAAAGACAGATGCGTTAATGATTTCTGCAAAAGGTCACTGTTTGAAACTTTTGATAAGCAAGACGTAAGCGTAAATCTCGAAGGATTTATTGCCAGTTTTGCGTTATTGACCTTTATAAAGGGAGGCTGAAATACCACCGTTAATCTCGTGTTAAGATGGCATTCAGTGTCTTAATCGGTTCTTTTTACTTCGCGTTAGCTTTAAATCCAATTTATGCTAAGGCTATGCAACGATAAAATTTGCGCTCAATTATATTTTGTTATCGTAATCAACATACTCATAGTGTTTCAACCGTAATGATTGGAAGTAGAAAATTCTGCGAAAGATTTGGACAATTCCTAGTTCCTTAAAAAATTATTTCCGTATTTATTCTAAGGATATTAATATAATAATTGATTATGTTTAATAATTTTTTCTTTTTGCTCAAGATATCTTTCTAAGGAAAATTTTAAAAGTTAGGCTATCTGTATATATGTATATTACCATATACGTGATAAATCTGAAAACATTAAATCTCTATTTAAGTCAGAGATTAAAGATTGCTACAAGTGATTTCGCATGCAATTAGACGCATGCAATATAGATATATTTAAAACGCAGTTATAGCTTTTTTAGCAGTTATAGCAAGAGAATAATATACAACAATTGCAATTGTACTACGGGTACAACATTATAATAATTTTCCTACGGGAATAATAATAATAAAAGTAGTATAATAACGATAATAAAGATATAAATTTGAATATAAATTTTAAATAATTCTTTTTCTGAAAAAGAAAACTTACGTAATTATTATTTTGAAATAAAAATCTAAATGCAAGATTTACTAATCAAAAAATTTACGCATTTTAAAGATAGGAAGCTCGATTCATCTTACCTTCAATATTTAATATATCGATCTTTACACATTGTAGAGACTGGGGCGGTGTTCACGATCGGCCGTAGCAGATTTGCGGACAACATTGCGTCGCATTTTTTCATACGCAAGGATCCGGTCATCATCATCGAATGTGGAGATGAACACTCCGCTGTTGTTTGTCGTAAGTTTTAAGCCTGATTGCTTCATCACGTAGACATACGTAATTAATCACTGAAAAGTCAACGATTCATGTTTAATTCAATGTAACATAACTCAATACACTCCAGTATTGGATTTAATTTAAACTGTCAAAAATTCAAAATTTGAAATTTAAATTAAACTGAGATTAAATCCAGTTTGAATTATAAGAATCATCATAAATTGGATTTAGATTTGGATAAATGAAATATGCTAGCGCCAACTAATCCAAAACTCAATTCGAAATGGATCTAACTTATCGGAAGACAATGATTCTATAAAGGAGAAAGTGGTAATACAGTCCGAATAGTCTGTCTATTGAATATCGTTAATCAATGTTGTCAAGTGTAGCGTTGAGTTAAATTATGTATTTGTAACGTTACATTGTTTGCAGACAAAGCATTTATTAATAAACAATGACAAGACTACTTTTGAGCTTTCTCTTCTTTTTGTTTCTTTCACAATTTTTTTTTAGTTGCAACATATTGACTTACTTTTAATTGTGCATTTGCATGATGCATTTGCATTAAATTTTTATCGAGAAGACTCTGTTTAAAATAGCAAATTTTAATTACTGCGTTATGAAATTTGTAGAACACTTTATAATGCGAGGCTATATGATTCTGTGTGATTTACAGCTTCTGTAGCATGCAAAGGGTATATACAGTTCAGCTATGCTTACATAGGGATATCCACTGACCAGCAAATCGATATTAAACACGCAATGGTCGGCGTAGCCGACTTTGTTGGTGTTATTAGTTTAACGCGCCTTGAAAAAAATATGTTATAGTGTTGCTTCGCATATAAAAAAGTGCGCATTAACGAAAATAAAGAAAAGCTATAAATAAATGATATAGCATCTAAATTTGACAGTTATTTCTTAGACGTTAATATTTCAGCTTTTTTATTTGCGACGCAAATTTTGTTTTGTTCATTTTATTATTATTTAAAAAACATGTTTTTATATTTCTCCATAATCTTTCCATAATTCTTTTCGTATCTCGGTATTAACTTACACTTAATTGCAGAACTATCCATTTAATACTGCAATTAAAATTATGTAACTGTATGTTTATTCCTCGTGCATTCACATTTCTAGATACTCTTAGATCTTAAATTCCTTGAGTGCTCCATGTTATGTAAAAGTAGATATCATCTTAATATTACAAATGGTTGTTTTAAAATTATAATTTATTAAATATATTCTCCAATTTCACGTTTTCAGACTCTGCCTTCTTTTCTGATTCTAATTTCTTTTTTTATTCCAGAAACTGGCAGACTCTTTGTTTTTGGCAGTAACGATTGGGGTCAACTAGGTTTAGGCCATAAAAATCACATCAGCAAACCATCGTGTGTAAAAAGTTTGTAATTTATTACAATAGTAAAAAAATTAAGATATTTATAAGAGAACCATGTTTTATAATATCAATTATATAAATAATATTTTAATTAATATTAAATAGCACTATTTTATATTTTATTTTATATTACATATAAATTCTAAAGACATGTTGATGTTTCCCAAAGCTACTCTACAGATTTTGTTGAAAATTTATAGTCATTGAATGTCAAGATTAATTTTTTGCATAAACTTGTTTTTTAATTAAACGTTACTAGTAATTTTAATGAGAATATGTTTTAGTTCTAAAACCGGAAAAAGTCACACATGTGGCATGTGGGCGAGCGCATACTTTAATATGTACAGGTGAGTAACAATTAACATTTCGGGATATATTATATCGAAATATTTCGGTAATATATATTTTTTTTATAACAAAATGCTAAAATTTAAATTTATTCTATCCTATGTATATAATATTTATGTTATAAAATATAAATTTATACTATCCATACTACTCATTTTCTTAATATAATCAATATCGAAAGAGTTTAAAACATGAGACGTGAAAAATTAGTTTTGGATTAAATAATTGATTTTATAATGACGAAAGCTATAGATCATAAGTGCGTGACATCTGAGACGCCTTTTATATGTACGTATATACAGTCGTCATTAGCAGAAAGGTATTAAGCGAGTGTGCCGTTTCTATATGTCTTTGCGTGTCATGAACTTCGGTGAATATTTGCCGAGTCATTCAACTTCAAATTTGTTCTCGTTCGAAGGGATCAACTCGATAAGAACTCTTTTAAATGGCACGCCACTTCTTTAGCTTTCTAAATAGGAATTCGAGATGTTAATTTATTAATCGATTGAAGTTGCTTTAGGCAAACAGTTTGCAAAGATATTCCTATAATTGATTCTATCAATCCTGTTTTAATTAAATACCTGTCCGTTTAATTAAATATCTGTCAATAGATTATTAATTACTTTCTGTTGAAAAAAAAACAAACAATATTTCTTAATTAATAAACACATTGTAGATCAGATATCTTTAAATGGAATTTTCCAGGAGCTCAAAAAATCTTTGCGTGCGGTAGCAATCAAGAAGGGCAATTAGGTCGAGAAAATTCCGTGATAGGTGACAGTTCCAGTTCTCCAATCTTAGTCTACGATTGCGGACTCGCTGGACCTAGGATTGTCCAAGTCGCAGCGGGATCGCATCATTCGATGGCTCTGACAAGTGACGGAGGAGTTATCGCGTGGGGAAGCAACTTGGAGGGACAATTGGGATTGTCGGGAATTTCAGGTTTGGTTAACAAGCCTACCAAAGTTCCCATTCCCGAACCGGTAAAGGAGATCAGCGCGGGATATTATCATTCAGCCTTCTTAACAGGTAATGTAATACTTGATGATAACATTTATTCTGACGTGAAATGATAGTTATATAATAGCTTGGATACGTATATACAAATAAGTAGAAATATATTCGTGTTTTCCTTCTATGAAATATCTTTTCTACAATCGTTTAGCATAGAAAAGTAAGAAGTAAAATATCTAAGATGTTAATCTAGAAAAAAATAAAATTGGATTCCAAGAATCTAAGTATTTCGGGACGTCACAGCACGCTTTCCACAAGATAAAATCACTCTTCCGCTGCGATTTACTGGTTTGTCGTGAACACGAGAGGTTGTAAAATACATTAGCATGTATTTGTGTGTGTAATTTGGCGACACAACTTGTTTCCAGAAAGCGGTCTGGTTTATGTTTGCGGCGAGTCGGAAAGTGGCAAACTCGGGATCAACGTCAACTTTTCTACGCAAGTTGCCCCGAAGCAGATGCAATTGCCGGAGCCGGCACTTCATATCGCATGCGGTGGTCATCACACACTCGTGTTAGCAGGTTGCGATCGATAGATTTTAATATCGATTTTTTTTATTTAATACTTTGCAACGTATTCTCTGGCCCTATTCTAAAAGGCCAAAAATTCTGACTTTTCTATAATTTAACATCGTAGATTATTATAATAACACAGATTTTTACAAGATCGATAAAAGTCGTGGTATAAATTTTTAGAAAATGGCAGTATTTACTGTTCTGGCAGTAACGCTAGTGGACAACTCGGTATGGGCACAAACAATAATGAAATACAAACGCCAAAACTTCTTCCACGCGGGGCTCTTCAAAATGAAAAGATTATCAAAATCGCGTGCGGTGAAAGTCATAGTGCTATACTTACCGGTAACTAAAACTCAGCTTTGATTATCGTATTCTTAAATTTTTTAATCTTTTGTTAATAAATTATGCTAATTTTTAACAATAGAGTCCGGCAAACTCTTTACATGTGGTGACGGCCGACACGGAAAACTTGGTCTGGAAGAAAATGAAAATAACGTGCACGAAGTAACATTTGCTGCCAAATATCAGGAACTTTTTGTTTCAGATGTAATTTTGCTTATTTAAAGAATAAATATTTATTACAATATTTATTACTTTATTTTACATCTTTATTGTTTGTTTATTTTATAGGTTGCTTGCGGGGGATGTCATACGATATTAGTTGGTCGAAGACATGAGATGGATTATCAATCACAACGGCCGTCTGATTCCATAGTATATTACGCATAGATTTATAAAAATAATTATTAACTAATTTTCTCTTAAATTAACAAAATATAAACTTTGTGTTGATTTTAGGAGCAAAGAAAAAACTCTTTACCTCCTTTAAAGCTTCCTGTAAATATGCAAAATGAACATCGAATGGACAATACAGAGAAATCAACAGATGAGAAGGACAATTTACATCATGATAAAAATAGTGAAACATCCAAAAATAATGACATTCGAATAAATTCTTCAGAAGATTCGCCAAAGGAAAATACAGATATTGTCAATAACGAAGAAATTTCTCCGAAAAATGACGAGAAAATTGCAAGTCCTAAACTATTTCCAAAAACTGCTTCATTAGAAAGCTTGAAAGAAAAAGACCAGGTTGACAATAATGAAAATCATGATAATGAAAATATTGAAAGCAAAGAAAGTAATGAGAGTAAAAATATTAATGAAAATAACGAAAGTCAGGAAAATGATAAAAATATGAAAATGGCAGCGACAATGGCACAGGATGTTAAAGAATCATGCACGGAAATGGCTTCAAGAATAGAAGAGGAAGTGGAACAGAAAACAATGACGAATCCTATATTACCACCAAAACCACCAAGACTAAAATCTGCAAGTATCGAAGATACGGATAATGAAACAGAAACTTTGAAGGAGAGTGAAGAGAATAAAAACGAAAAAAATAATGAAGAGACAGAGACGAGCAGCGAACAAACTTCAAGTGCACAGACGACTGAAAAGTCAAAATCAGCGATTTCGAGGGAAGTTATGGAAGCTATTGAAAATTCGATAGAAAAGATCGATGAGGGTGAACATACTGAAGAACCAGAGAAAGCGGAGATGGATGGTACGCAGGACGATGCTGATGTGGTGCAATCTCCGGCGCCGCGAACAGGTTGGTGAAACAAAGTCTCTCTTTCGTGTTTTTTCCTTTCAAAGATTAAATTACCTACTAGATTAAAAACAGTGGATCAATGAAAAGCAGCGATTGGAGTTTATCCCGTAAAAGAAAATGTTAATTTTTTATTTAGCCATTATTTTTAGAATGTTTAAATTTGCGAATAAAAGTTACACAATTAATTATTGTCTTCTAGCTAAGATGGCAAAGTTATTCAAAGGAAAACGACAACAACAAGCGCAGAATGGAACTAAAAAGACAAGCAGTACAATAAATCTGAAATCTAAGGTACAAATAATGTGAAACATATATATTTTACAAACAATATATTAAAAAATATGATTTTTTGATTTTATAATTATATATTTAAGATAATTGAATACATTTTTTTTCTCTTTTTAGTCAAAAACATGCACAATCTTGTGATCGAGAAAACTTCGCAGAGGGATTATAATTCATTATATTTTTATAAAATACTTATGATATATTCGTCGCTGAGACCAAAGTATATGGAACCGGAAATCTCCAAAAAAGAATATATATCCAAATCAAGTCTTTGTTAATGATTGCATTTACATAGAATGCATCAACATAAATCTTCTACATTCTTTTACATATTGCATCGATTTTTCTTTCTCATTTGATTTCGTCGGCAACGAAAAAGTTTAATAAAAATGCTTGTATCAATATATTATTATTAGGCTTTGTAAATATGAGTCACGCAGACAAATTGATTAACATACATTTCCGAAAGACGCATAAATTTACATATTATAGCATAAAGTAGACGAGAGCTGAATGTGTGATCAATGTACAGTGATATCTCTGGATAAACATATTTTATTAAAGTCCAATTACAAAATTCCGTTCGCGCAATAACAAGCTTACCCTATAATCATTTTTCATTTTTATTTTCATTTTTTTAAATAGATTAAAAATATTATATATATAAAAGTGTGGTCGCATTCCTAAATCATTCGTTTGATTAATCGTCAAACCGTATTATAGCATATCGACGTCGATTAACGCATTCGTAATCGTGATTATCTAAATTTACCCTTTCGATATTCTTTATCTATAGCTAAAACTGCGCTCCCGATTGTTCAATCGAAATTAGCTTTACGTAGCTATATGTAGCGCTAAAGCTGTTGGTGCAACTGACCTTACTTCTAATCGTTGTTTCACCATACGTTGGTGGCGATGATATACTTAACATACGATCACTAATATTGCACTAGATTTTATGGCCGAGTACGAGTGGGACGTTGAGAAGAAGCATCGCTTTACGCGCAATCTTGCCGCGATTCACCACAAGTGAAAGTTTCGTCCATTCAGATAATTGCCAATGAAGCTTCTCCCTTCATTGCTCTATATTCAAGTGCATATTGCATATCATATATAAATAAGGACGGAATCACAGACATAATAACATATTTAACTTGGGATCTCTTGCGATAGTCAAAATTACCAGGAAATTCCTGATTACGGGGTGTATTCATAAGCACCCGTAAAATCCCAAAAGTTTAGTTTTTTCTTCCATAATAAATAATGGAGAACGCTATTGTATTACAATTCGTTAAAACTATAAAATATTATAATGATTGTATGTTACTTTCACTTCTGTGAAAGATCATGAATACACATATATATTCTTTGGCGAATTTGAATTCCATTAAAAAATGATACTTTCATGGGTTTCAATCGAATAAATTCATCGTATAAAATGAGGAAGACTTTCTACATACGAAATATAAATCAATTTTGGCTGCATGTATTTCGTAATTGGTTAATTAGTCTTCTTGACTGTCAAAAGCGAAACTTTGGTGTACGCAGTCAAACAAAACACATTTTATATTACATCATGCTGCATCATACCGCGCAGATGTTTATCCAATATTTTTAAGAATAATATTACCAATTAATGACACCTAGCTTTATTTTTAAATAAAACAAATTATCACGTATTTAATGAAAAATGTATCAATATACCTAAAATTCCTGTAATTAATCATTATTAAATATCAAATATTAATTTTAAACAGTCGAAATCCTTAGCTTCAATTTAAGAGATTTCTAAACATTCTATAATAACTAATGCCAAAGTTTCTTACATTCTATTCTATTTACAGTCTAGAAGTGCAAACTAATATACGCAGTTTATGCTTCTATTTGGTGAAATTGTAAAGCCGAGTAAACCCTAAATTATATAATTGAAAGATTCGTAATCTTTCAGTAAGTTGCATGAAAAAAAGATTGTATAGTTCTTAACATATATACTTTATTGATAATTAAAGTCTTGATAAAAAAATTCTTGTATTTCTTACGCAAGTCTTTGAGTCCTGTATCCCTTTAAATACCTTAAATTAACACGTTAATTAACAATCCAGATTAATTAAATTCTGGATTACTTAAATTCTAAATTTCCTGGATCTTAAGTGCCTTGCATCATAAATTCTTTAAATCCTAAATGCCTCTTAGATCTTAATCGCCTTAATTCCTGAGATTCCTGAATTCTGTCTACGCAATTCTAAATTCTTTTGATAATCGTCGAGCTCCGATTTACCAGAACGTAATAAATAATAAATCGTTACATTGCTCAATGAATTTTGTTATTTATAGTTCCAAGATTAATTCGCTTCATAAGGAATCGAGACTAGGCGTCATTAATTGTCATGTATGTTATTCACGCTTGAGTACACTTAGCACTTTTAATATTATTAATTCACATAAAAAATAATGTCCATTAGATCTCTATAACGTCTTGCTTCTCATCAATATCGTTGTTGCTTAGTAAAATATAAGAGTCTCGACCAGACAATAGTCGGTGCTGGCCATTTATCAAGAAGGATGATCCTCTTCTGATAGTCCTCTTACCGAGCTCGATCGCCTCGTGCGCCAGTACCGGGCTATTGTATGCCTTCACGAACACTGTAACGATGATCGTCAAACCGACTAGAATCATGCCGTACGTTATGCAAGGCACAGCGATATCGGCGAAAGTAGTCGCCAAGTAAATCAACCGCCTAATAGATGGTGTGAGCTCTTCTATGCCTTCCTCGAGCCACATGATTGGGAAAACTATATTGGGAAAATTTGAAACCACTGCGATCTTGGGCTGTCGTTCTACCTTCAGATTCATCTGGACGCGAACCTTCGCTTCAATCGGCACTCCTAATTTCTAAGAGAATAAAAAAGGGAATTATTATTATTATTATTATCTTATACGTATCTCAGACGTTATATTTTATGTCTCTAGTTACTTCTATTATACTTAAATAATCCAGTTTATTTATTAATTTATTCATTAACTTTCCATCCATCCTAGTCATTAATCTTCCGTTTCGAGCATTTGTCATTGTCAATCTCAATAGACACGCGAACAATAACATCGCTTTTTTGTTAAATGGCAAAAAGATACATCTAGAACTTGTAGGATTTTTTCTATGTTTTACGTACTGGTTGGATTTTGAAATATGTTTCGTGCAGTTTTTCAACTGGCTTGAGTCCATCAATGGCGTCTAACAATTTAGGATCAGCTTTGTAAAAATGTGGAAACGAGAGATAAACTGGCGCACCTGAAATAAAAAACAAGACGTATCATCTTTTAATTAAGAGTTCAAAAAATATCCATAAATTCCATTAACTTTATAAAACATAAAATACTTACTATATTGGCATGGACTAATATTTTGCAAGCCTTGCGGAGGGCAAGTAGCGATTCCGTCCGTGCAGAAGCATTCATCTTCCGTCGGCGCTGTTTCATTTGGCCGCCCAAAAACATCATCCGACGGAGTATATAAATCCGCCTTGATGCCCGTTTTTTCTACTGGGCCACGGTACTGCAATGGCAGTGTCCTACAGAGATCCTTGTCCCAGACGTGAACGATATCTGCACCGGTTTGGTCCCGTGGCGGAAAGAACGATCCTGCAAGGAGCATTCGAAATTTATTATTATGATGAAACTATTATATTTATTATGATTATTATATATTTATTATGATGAAACTAAATATTTTATTGCGTTACAATATTAAGCATCTTATTTGCATCACAATATTAAGCGTCACAATATTAAGCATCTTACTTGCACTAAGCAACTTACTAAGAATAAGTAAAACTTTTATATACCATTCTTTAAAAAGAAACAAACAAAGACTTACCTTCTGAAGCCGTAATGGAGTTACACGGTGCGTTCGGCCAGTATGACAAGTGATCGAGCCCATTCAATCGATTTATCAAACCAAACTCTTTCATACCCGTGTGTCCAGTGAATATTGTAGATATCTCGCTTAATGTACCGTTTCTCTATAATCGAGATTTGATTTGTTAAATGAATAATGACTTAGCACACAATAAATATTTCGTAACATGTAATGGACTTATTTTGTACAAGGAAAATGTCGAATCAATGTCTTTGAAAGCGAATTACGTTCTAACAATCGTTGCGTAACACTTACTCCAAGAAGAAGGCCCATTCTGCTCATGGGCCGTCTTGTTTTGGGAAGAAATTGATGACCAAGAGTAACTAACGGATCGTCATATCCAAAGACTAATTCCTGCGCAGTTATAGACACGAAAGGTTTCATATTCGTTGTACTCAAGGCAATAGACATTGCTAGTGTAATGAAGTGAGGGAGACTCTTGCTTTGCGTTGTAAGTGTCTACAAAGGAAAAGTGTACTCGTTTATTTATATCTTTTAATTTTTAATAAAATTTAGTCAATACTTTATTAATTATTTTGATTAATAGAATTGCACAATTAAGCACAACTTTATTACTATATCGTAAACTCACCAGTAAAGGTATATTCGGTACCATCACTTTAGTATCTCCATCTTCAGACATTTCAGGCACAAAGTTCAAAATTTTTTTGTGCTGATAACTAACAGTTCCATTATTATGAAACACGATGTTAACTTTTTCCATATCCTCTCTGCAACAAATATTATCTTTTTTATTGAAGCGATCATCATTATCTAGCAAAGATTTATGAATTTATCATCTGTAAAGTAGAATCGCAAAGTTTATTTTTTTACACGCGCTTGTAGAAGCGCATGCGACAGTTTCAAATGATAATGAGTGTTCACGTAACTGAGAGACATTAAAAAAAGAGATTTGAATACATAGTTATTCGTAAAAAAAAATTCATGTATTAGAAGTTGATCTTTAAATTATACTTTTCAATCGTCTCAATAGAAAATAAATAAATGATCTTACCGATAAACGAACGGACCAACTTCCTGGAGTTTCGGTTTCTCATTGTACTGCAAAAAACTCTCTGTGTTGGTTACGTTAAATATGTAGACTTTGGTCAATCGAATTACACCTGGCTTCTGCCAATATTGAAAGGAGAGCGAACCATTCCATAATCGCAGTTGCTGAAAAAGCGGTGAACCAATATTATTTACCAGCACGTATGCGGTTTCTCTTACATTAAAGTTGCATATATATGTTTATCTTACGTTCAAAGTAATTTATTATGATATTTTTATGCAAAATACTCGTTAATCAATCTAAAGAGAAATGCATTCGGAATTTTATAATTTCAGAAAATTGGGTTATTAGCGATCGAACAACGTTATTTCTCGTATTATTCATTTTATAGAATACGTAGACATTATGATTTTATTAGTTTCTTGCATTTTCAACGTTTCACATTATTGGATTCATATAATTTCTGGAGAAATTGAAAATAAAACAATTAAAACAAGTTCATACTGTTGAGCCTAACATTTTCTCGAATCATTGGAATAAGACACTTTCAAGATTTTTTTTCTAAATAGATTTTTATTCTATATACTGTTTTTCTTAATAGAAAGGAAATATGTGTGCGGAAAGGGAAAGTCATAAACGGAAACGAATTTCCATTAATGTTGTGAAGGTTGTAGTAATTAAGCATCAATTTCAAAAGACATAGATTAATCTAATCGCCTTTCCGGAAATTAATCTAATCTCACGAGTAGTTGAAACGTTAGAACTCATGAAGTAGTTAAAAGAAATCATAGTCTGAGAAATCATAGTTGAAGTCTGAATTTAATAATATTAATTTTTTGCTAATCAATCGAAATTATATCAATAATATTTGTCTTTAAAAATTAAATCTAATTTATTACAATTATTGATAATTTAATTAATTTATTTTTTAAGATATAAATTTTAAGATATTAGAAATAAGTTATGTATAATAATTCAGAAATTTCAGGAGTTTAGATGAAATCGTGTAAATAATTATTTAAACAGAAATTGCAATAATAAATTTGATTCTTAATTACTGACAATCACTTGCACTTGCAGACATAAATTATTTGCAGACATGACATACTGGCATAATGTGGTTTGTATAATAAAAGAAAAGACATTCACGAAAGTATTTACTGCAGATGCAAATATTGCATAAATGCATAGTATAAAAAATATTAAATATTCATTACACGAGAGACTTACTTTATCTAAATGTGTGCTTGCTCTATCCAGATATAATCTCATATTATTGTGGACTTTAAGAGTGAAACAGAATTCAAAAAGTGAAAAATAAAATATGCGTCGAAATAACTTGTATTAACGGTTTGTAAAATTATGTTTTAGATATTCAATATTATACATTGATTTATATTTCAACAATTTTTCGTTTTTCTTTAAAATAACAAATATGTTTATTGCAATTTATAAAATATTTTAGAAACATAAATGAGAGACATAAATGGCAGACGATTCTTAACATACAATTTTAATGATATTGATAAAAATTTAAATGTGCTACAATTTTGTAAAGCCACAGTGATTGAATTATATATTTATCAGAAATCGAACGTTTGCGAATATATGTAAAGTTTCATACTTACTTTCAAGATGAGGTAATCGACCCACGGTATGCTACTGAGCACTATGCCGATCACAAGTGCAAGAAGACCTAGACAGATTGCTGCTATCCTGCCTGCAAAAAAAAAGTGATAGTAATGTTAACGGTGCAGGTGTCAAAACGCACGATGTTAAATATACGCATACTCAATGCATGTTTGCGCAAACGATTTTTTTTTATGGATGTCGACACTATAGGTATTTCTCATAGAACAAGCATTGACCTACATTTGAAAATTAGTGCCGAGTATCAAGTATTACTGATATTGTGTGTGAGGAAAATTTACACACACAGCCTACAATTATTAGTAGCACTTTTCCGAAAAACTTACATGTTTTAAATATGAAAAAGTTTTTACAGCAAGACGATGTATAATTTTATTTATTCTAATATCATTAAAAGTTTTTTATATTCTAATGTAGCAAATTTCTTATTAAAAATTATCATTTTAGATA